CGGGGCTCGGGCGGCGGGGCCGGGGCTTGGGCGGCGGTTCGGGCCCGCGGCGGCCGTGAGCGCCGGCGCTGGAGGAGGACGAGGCGGCGGCTGAGGAGAAAATGGAGGCGACGCTGCTGCTGCCTCCGCCGCCGCCGGGAGAAGACCGCGCCAGAGGGGCGGGGCCTTTGGAGGGCGGGGCGGGGCCTCGGCCGCCACCCGAGGAGGAGGAGCCGGAGGGCGCCCCAATCCCCGCCATCGTCGGCGAGGGGGCGCTGCCCGGCCGGCGGCCGTTATTGGGCTGCCGCGAGATGTCAATCAACAGAGGGAGGGTGGGAGGGAGGGAGGGGAGGAAAAAGGAGGCGGGGCGTTCCTTTATCCCACTGAACGCCACCCACCCACCCGCCCGGCGGTGATTGGCTGCGCGCCCTCGGCCGGCCAAGGCGAGGAAGGCTCGATGCCACGCAGGTGGCGGCGGCAGCGGGCTTGGGAGGGGAGGCGCATGCGCACTCGCGCGGGTGAAGCCGCTGCCCTAGGAAGCAGCGGAGGGCTGGCGCTTCCGGGTGATGAACACGTGACCCACTGCCCAGAAGAGGCTTCAGCCAAGCCAAGGGTAGGCAACCTTGGCTCTTTTATGACTGGTGGACTTCAACTCCCAGAATTCCTCAGCCAGCCACGCTGAGGGGAAAGGGAGAGGTTTCCAAGCTGAGCCATGCTGGCTCAGGAATTCTGGGAGTTGAAGTCCACCAGTCATGAAGGGGCCATTGTTCCCCCATGCTGGCTGAGGAATTCTGGGAGTTGAAGTCCACGAGTCATAAAAGAGCCAAGGTTGCCTACCCCTGGCCTAAGTCCTCCTGTTCTAAGCGGTGAGCCTCCTAGACCAGGGGTAGGCAACCTTGGCTCTTTTATGACTCATGGACTTCAACTCCCAGAATTCCTGAGCCAGCCATGCTGAGGGGAAAGGGAGAGGTTTCCAAGCTGAGCCAGGCTGGCTGAGGAATTCTGGGAGTTGAAGTCCACAAGGCTTAAAGTGGCCAAGTTTGAAGACCCTTGCCATTGAAACTCCAAATAAACAAGGCAATTATCTTTTGATATCTCTCAGCTCCTCCTGTTTTTCCCATAACGACAACCCTGTGAGGTGGGTTGGGCCGAAGCAAGCTGCAAGCCCAAACTCGCCAGCTTCCATCTTTAAGGGAGAGAGTCAGCCTCTCCAGTCTAACATCTTAGCCACTATACCAAATTGGCTAATTTTTTTCCAAAAGGATGAGATGCAAACTTGCTATAAATTCACACAATACAGGCAAACCTCAACTTACCATTTCATTTAGTGACCGTTCAAAGTTACAATGGCATTGAAAAAAAGGACTTAGGACCGTTTTTCACTCTTAACGACCGTTGCAGCATCCCCAGGGTCACGTGATCAGAATTCAGATGCTTGACAACCGATTCATATTTATAACGGTTGCAGCGTCCTAGGGTCATGTCAGCCTCTCTTGCGACCTAACTCAAGGACTACCTGTATAGTGTCAACTAGAAAATTTGACCGAGTCAATCCTGGTTAGAGTTACATGGGTACAAGTTTGCGGCAGCCAGCTATACATTTGATGTGACATATGAAAACAGGTATTAAGCCACGATTGCTCTTTAAATAGGACCAATGGCTGCCAAATGGACCACAATATTGTATTATTCAAGAATTATGCTCTACGCCGCTGGGCAGGACCTATTCATCCGGAAGGCTGACTATAGCATGAATTCCCACACGGTAAGCCATACAGGCTAGGCCAGGGATGGCGAACCTTTTAGAGACCGAGTGCCCAAACTGCAACCCAAAACCCGCTTATTGATCGCAAAGTGCCAACGCGGCAACTTAATCTGAATACTGAGGTTTAGAAAAAAAACAACTCGGTACATTAACATCTTTTGTCTTAAAAGAAAAACACCATAACAAAGCTTTCAATGATACAAACAACTTTTTACTGAAAGGTAAACAGTTTGCATTTGGCATGCTTTTGAACCATTAATGTGATTTTTGCTGTTGTATGCATGCTGATAATTTGTCCAACCTTGGCTCATACTTTGTAAGTTTGAGAGCAACACATGCAGCACTCAGGTCGTCTGTTAGTCTGTTTCTGGTATCAGATTTGATATAATTCAAAGCTGAAAACAGCCCGCTCCGTCCAGAGGCTCGTTTTGGCTAGGAAGGGGGTTGAAAAATGGCTTTTTTCCTGCGAAAACGTAGCCAAAGAGCGAGGCCCGCGTGCCCACAGAGAGGGCTCCGAGTGGCACACGTGCCATAGGTTTGCGACTACTGGGCTAGCTGCTAGGCCACTGTTCCTCATCCTCAGCAACTTTCAGATGTGTGGCCTTCAACTCCCAGAATTCCCCATCGACTAAAAGACTCCTCCCCCTTATAGCATTTTGGGAAAGAGCCTCTGGGAAGCTTTTGCTCATACGTTAGAACAGAAAAGAGTTGGAAATTGGTGTGTGTGTGTGTCTTTTTAATGCTCCTTCCCACCAAGTCTGTTCTCCTCAAAGAGCTGGAGAACGTCAGGTTTCTTCGCCAGCTGCCTGGCGTACATCCCGGTGTCGTCTGGAGAATCCTTTAAACCTGCCTGCAGGAGGAAACGCACGCAGGGTGCATGTTGTCTCGCAGAAGCCATGTGCAGCGCTGTGAGGGACAGAGAAAGCAAAACAAGAGTGAAGGCCTTGTGCACGCCCTGGCTGCCTGCAGCCCTCTGACTTCAGTCCCTCCAGCTCTTATTGAAGTCAAAAATTTAACATTCGTTCGTACGAATATATTCATTTTGCCTTAAAGGCCCAGCCTAGATGGCTTTTAGTGGCAAATTCGCTGTATTTATTTCAGAGGCAAATTTAGCCAGTTTCCTCTAGTGGTTAAGGAATCAGGGTAGAAACTAGGAGCTGTGAGTTCTAGTCCAGCTTTAGACATAAAAACCAGCAGGGTGACCTTGGGTTAATCACCAGGAGATGGTGAGTTCTAGTCCTGCCTCAGGCATGAAAACCAGCAGGGTGACCTTGGGTTCATCACCAGGAGACGGTGAGTTCTAGTCGTGCCTCAGGCATGAAAACCAGCAGGGTGACCTTAGGCCAATCACCAGGAGACAGTGAGTTCTAGTGCTGCCTTAGGCATGAGAGCTGACTGGGTGACCAACCGGTAGATGGTGAGTTCTAGTCCCATCTTTGCTATGAAAGCCAGCTGGGTGACTTTGGGCCAATCCCCAGGAGACTGGTCCTGGAGGTTGCAGACCCTGTAAGGTGCTGTGTGGGGGGTCACAGAGGGCATCAGGGCCTCCTGCACCTCGCTGACCTGGTTTGGTGGTCCCCCAGGGTCTCCTTAGCAAGGCGGCCTTACCAGTTCGATGCTTCTTATCCTTCACATGCAAGGACGCCCCCAAGGAAAGCAGACATTGGATCGTACCCTTGTGCCCTTCCTACGTGGCAGAACAAAAACACAAAAGAGTCGAGATTCAGACTATATTTGAGCTCCTGGAACTGCGGTTTGTATAACCCATTGCAACAGGCTGGGCTTGCTCCGTGGGCTAAGCCACAAATCATAGTTTGCAACCTTGACGTTTTATTCATCCGTAGGGTTTCTATTTTATTCTCAGCTCAGGAGCCAAAGAGGGCACAGACGATGGATGTCAAGTCCCAGAATCCTTTGCCAGGACCACCCATCACATGAATGAGGGGAACCTGGGCCACTAAGGCTGCATTTGTTTCGCTGGAAAGCAGAAGTGGCCAGGAACAATTTCAGTAGGCTGGGGAGGATGGGACGTGAGGAGGAGGAAGAGAAGGCCAGGAGAAGGTCACACACCAGATGGTGGACGTGTTCAGATGTTCCTCCTCTTCCTTCCTCAGCAGTAAAGACTGTTTTAAAAGTTGAAAGAAGAATATATATATATTTTTTGCAAATCCCCAGTTGGACAAAATATTTAATTCTTATAAGATTATGTTGAATCTGTTGGTTATTTGGCTTAAGGCACCCTTAATTGAGAGTCACTTGGGTCTAGGGGTCTAGGCTAGAAAGCAGGAGACCATGAGTTCTAGTCCCGCCTTAGCCATGAAAGTCAACTGGGTGACTTTGGGCCAATCACCAGGAGACAGTGAGTTCTAGTCCCGCCTTAGCCATGAAAGTCAACTGTGTGACTTTGGGCCAATCACCAGGAGACAGTGAGTTCTAGTCCTGCCTTAGCCATGAAAGTCAACTGGGTGACTTTGGGCCAATCACCATGAGACGGTGAGTTCTAGTCCCACCTTGGGAATGAAAGGTGGCTGGGTGACATTGGGCCAATCACCAGGAGACAGTGAGTTCTAGACCCACCTTAGCCATGAAAGCCAACTGGATGACGGAGCCCATCACCAGGAGATGTGAGTTCTAGTCCCACCTTGGGAATGAAAGACAGCTGGATGACATTGGGCCAATCACCAGGAGACAGTGAGTTCTAGTCCCGCCTTAGCCATGAAAGTCAACTGGGTGACTTTGGGCCAATCACCAGGAGACGGTGAGTTCTAGTCCCGCCTTAGCCATGAAAGGCAGCTGGGTGACTTTGGGCCAATCATCAGGAGACAGTGAGTTCTAGACCCGCCTTATCCATGAAAGTCAACTGGGTGACTTTGGGCCAATCACCAGGAGACGGTGAGTTCTAGTCCCGCCTTAGCCATGAAAGGCAGCTGGCTGACTTTGGGCCAATCACCAGGAGACAGTGAGTTCTAGACCCGCCTTGGGCATGGAAACCAGCTAGATGACTTTGGGCCAATCATTCTCTCTCAGCCCAACCCACCTCACAGGGTCGTTGTGGGAAAAATAGGAGGAAAAAATGTGTTTTGATATGTTCGCCTCTTTCAGTTACTTGTAAAAAGAATAAAGGCGGGAGGCAAACACACAAAATAAAGTGACGCTGCCCCAAAGGCCAATAAAAAAGGAACAGAGACCTTTGCCGCATAATGCAGGGCCGTGAGATCGAGGTCCGTGGCCCTTTCATCGACATCGACCTCAAGATCGGACACCAGGAACCGTAGCGCCTCCCCCTGTCCTGTGATTGCAGCTCGGTGCAATGGCTGGTTGCCGAGAGCATCTCGGATCTTACAATCAGCCTGCAGGATAGGGAACAGAAAGCAGAAGACAAGGATTTGGGGTTATAACCCCAAAGGCATGCTGGGAAGGAGAGAAAGCATGTCTCAAGAAATCTTGGGACAGAATAGGCCGACATTTAAGCCAGGGTTTTTCGAACTTGGCCGTTTGAAGATGGGCGGACTTCAGCTCCCAGAATTCCCCAGCCAGCATTGAGAATTTTAAGTATAGGTCAGGGGTCTGCAACCTTGGCAACCTTACTACTTGTGGACTTCAGCTCCCAGAATTCCTCAGCCAGCCTCCATTTTGTTTGTTAGATTTAAGACAGGGGTCTTCAAACTGGGCCCTTTTATGACGTGTGGACTTCAACTCCCAGAATTCCTCAGCTGGCCTCTATTTTGTTTGTTAGATTTAAGACAGGGGTCTTCAAACCTGGCTCTTTGATGACTTGTGGACTTCAACTCCCAGAATCCCTCAGCCGGCCTCCATTTTGTTTGTTAGATTTAAGACAGGGGTCTTCAAACTTGGCCCTTTTATGACTTGTGGACTTCAACTCCCAGAATTCCTCAGCCGGCCTCCATTTTGTTTGTTAGATTTAAGACAGGGCTCTTCAAACCTGGCCCTTTTATGACTTGTGGACTTCAACTCCCAGAATTCCTCAGCCAGCGTGGAGAATTTTAAGTATAGGTCAGGGGTCTGCAACCTTGGCAACTTTAAGACTTGTGGACTTCAGCTCCCAGAATTCCTCTGTGCCCTCCAAGTGCCCTTCCACCTCCAAGAGGCCTCAACAACTCTCAGAGAGAGTACTAAACGACCAGGTGACTGCGAGGAATATAAATCCTTCCATCCTCCACCATTTGGTCAGAACTGAAGAAGCTTCTTAGATGAGAAGCAAAAGGTCTTCAAGGAGAAACAAAGTCCAGGTGTCTCTTGAAAAAAAGCACCTTTGGGACACCTATTGGCTTTGTTTGTCAGAAGGGGTTCATGGGACCCCAGGACACTGCAACCATCATAAATATGAGTCAATTGCCAAGGCATGCTGCAATGGGTGGAAAAATCATTTTTTTCCAACGCCGTTGTAACTTCGAACTTAATGTTGTAAGTCTAGCATTACCTGTACTCCTACGCTACCAGGGATAAAGCTAGCTTTCCAAAGGGACACCTGTCGGAGCAGGTGGACGATGAACGCACCTGGTGTCTCTCTAGAAGCACCTGGCCAACGTCCAAGTGGCCGTTTTGTATAGCGTCCACAAAAGGGGTGATCCCGCAGTGGTCCCGAACGTCTGGCATGTAGCGGCACCTTGGAATAAATGCAGGAAAAAATGGGGAGAGTCAAAACTGAACCCAGCCCAAAGCACACTCAAGAGCCAGTTGGGGAAAGTAGTGAAGGTGCTGGAGCAGAAACCAGGCGTGGTGAGTTCTAGTTCGCCTACAGTCAAGAAACTGCCTGGGGGATTTTTGACCATTCTCTCAGCCCATCCCACTTTACAGGGTGATTGTGCTGGGAAAAATGAAGAGGAAGGATTATGCATCCTTCCTTATCATATACAGCTGAATTGAATTATTATTATTGTTGTTGTTGTTGTTGTTATATATGATATGATATATGATATGATATGATATGATATGATATAATAGTTGGAAGGGACCTTGGAGGTCTTCTAGTCCAACCCCCTGCTCAGGCAGGAAACCCTATACCAGTTGTGGGTCGTAAGCCGAGGACTATCTGTAAAGTGGGAGGAGCAGAACTCAGCTCACCTTTCGAGAAGGATTTTCACAATTTCCAGGCGCCCGTGCATTGCTGCAAAACAGAACAGAGAAGGTAACACGGCTAGTATCGAAAACTTGGCAGCAGCTTCGCTCGTGGAATTCTGGGAGTTGAAGTCCACGAGTCATAAAAGAACCGAGGTTGCCTACCCCTGGCCTAGGGGATGGATTGGACCCAGGGTCAGGGTAGCCACCAAAGAAATTCAAAGCAAAATCCTGTCTAAGGAATTACACCCATTTCACAGACTGGCTTATTCACCCACTGCTGACGAAGCAACTCAACCATCTTAAGATCGGTGCACGTGACGCAACCTGCTGTGTGGAGGGGGGTCCTTCCGATCCGGCTTTCTGTATCCCAAATGTCCGGAAAAGCATCCAGCAAGTATTGGATGACCCGTGGATCCCCTTCGCGGCTGGCGATGTGGAAACAATTCCAACCGTCCTTGTTCTTTAGCTGCGGGTTGGCTCCGTGGTGGACAAGATCTCCGATGATCTCCAAGTTCCTCCTCGTACAAGCCATCATAAGAGGAGTCCTAGAAAATGGAGCGGAGGGAGAAAGATCAACCTTCTCCAGCCTTTTCACAGGAGATCATCCAGACATATGGGAAGAACAGCTCCTGTAATCCCCTGCCTCACTGGGAACCAGCCAGGAACCTCTTTCGGAGGTTGAGGAACCTCAACTGAGTAAGGTGGTCTTCCCTTTAGATTTCTCCTCCAGTAGTGCCACAAGCATTTGGCAAGCTTGTGTTGCGTTTGCTTAATGACCGTGTGATTCCCTTAACAACTGCATGGATTTGGTTAACAGGAAAAATCAAAGGTACAAGTACAGATTAGGCAAGACCTGGATTAAAAATAGCAACTGTGAGAGGGACCTCGGAGTCCTGGTGGACGATCACTTGACTATGAGCCAGCCGTGTGCAGCAGCAACCAAAAAAGCTAATACAATCCTCGGTTGCATAAACAGAGGCACAGAATCAAGATCACGCAAGGTATTAATACTGCTTTATAAAACCCTAGTAAGGCCACGCCTGGAATACTGCAGCCAATTTGGATCTCCCTATCACAAAAAAGATGTTGAGAGTTTGGAAAAAAATCAGAGAAGAGCAACTAAGATGATCCAAGGCCTGGAGACCAAAACATAGGAAGGACGGCTGCGGGACTTGGGTCTGGCTAGTCTAAAGAAAAGAAGACATAGGGGAGACATGATAGCAGCATTCCAGTATTTGAGGGGCTGCCACAAGGAAGAGGGGGTCAAACTATTCTCCAGAGCACCAGACAAGAAACAATGATTGGAAACTTACCAAAGAGAGAAGCAACCTGGAACTAAGGAGAAACTTCCTGACAGTGTGGACAATTAACCAGTGGAACAGCTTGCCTCCATAAATCGTGGGCACTCCATCACTGGATATTTTTAAAAAGAGGCTAGAAAGTCACTTGTCAGAGATGGTATAGGTTCTCCTGCTTGAGCAGGGGGCTGGACTAGAAGACCTCCAAGGTCCCTTCCAGCTCTATTCTATTCTATTCTATTCTATTCTATTCTATTCTATTCTATTCTATTCTATTATTCTATCCTATTCTATTCTAAAAATATTCTTTAACAACCACCTGGCTCAGCCACAGAAATTCTGGTCCCAATTGTCGTCGTAAGTCAAGGACTATCTATAGATTAATATCTACATCATCTTCATCTACAAACCTAATATTTGATTTTTTTTTTTACATTTTACTGTATATGGCCCTCGTGACTCTGGGCAGCTAAAATATAATAAAAAGTAAAATACAAAAACAGAAAAATAGAACCACGCTCATCAAGCCTCCGTTGGAATTAAAAACTGGCCCATCGGTCAGAATTCACACAGGTAATGCATGGGCTCCTGCCCCTCCGAACCAAGTCTTTAATGCCTTTAAAAAGGCCAGCAGAGTTATGGCTAATGTGATCTCCTGGTGGTCTCCCATTCAACACAAGAAAAACCCTTCCGTGCCAACCCACCGTACCAGTCCGCTTTTTTCAAGCAGTCCACAGTGGCTCTCCATTCGAGAAGGTACAAGACGCAATCCCGGTGGCCCATGGAGGCGGCTTCGTGGAGGGGACGCTTGTAGTCCTGGTTCACCAGCTCAATGTTCATGCCTAGGATCTCAATGAGGTAACGCAAGATATCCATCTTGCCGTGCCTGGCTGCAAAGTGGAGCAAGGTGTCTCCCGACTTCTCCCAGTGCTTCTGCCTCACGTCTCTGTCCAGGTCAGGAACTTTTTCAATCTCTTCTTTGAGAAGGGTCAACATCCCTTCCCGTATTAGCCGTGGAAAGAGGTGGGCCATTTCTCCTCCCTCGATCGCAGGTCCAGAGGGAAAGACCTAAAGCCCATTTGAGGCAGATGGGCCGTTTAGAGGGAAAAAAAGAAATATCTTTTATACATGTAAAAACGTATAAATATTTATAATGAAATATATATTTTTATACAATATGTAATATACGTACATACACAAAGTACATATTTTGTGCAATATGTTACATAGAATATATCAATATGCAAACTTTATATATCTATATATTCAGATTTCTTTTTGCTGACAGACAGCAAAAAGAAATCCGAATTTGTAATGTATACCGCAGTAGCGACTTGAGCCTGCTTAACGCCCCTAGTTGGGGGGCTGCAAGGCAAAAAATGATTATAAAAAAAGTAGAACTGCAGTATAGCAGTCAAAATGCCAAGGTGCAATCAATCAGACCGGTCTGTCTGAAAAAATTTCTGTATATATATATGTATATAATTTCATAAAATATAAATAT